GAACACTAGAGGGTTACCAGGTCCTCTGTGCCTTGGCAACAAATCTTGATCGCGGAGGGTCGCCAGGCCCTCCGCGCCTTGGTGTTGATCTTGGATACACATGAGGGTCACGAGCTGCAGCGAAGTAGCATTACATCTTTGCAGCAATCGCTCAAGCGCGGCGCTGCTTCTGCACTAGGCGTACTGGAACACCCATCTCTCATTCTCGGACCCACTCGGGGAACTTCGCACCGATCTATTAAAGATCCTTCTTCATGAAGAGGCGCTGGAGGGGTCCATTGATCCACTTGTGTTAAACGGCGCGAATTGCGAAGCGTAGGATGATATCTTGGTTTGATCTGGTAGCAGCATTTACCATCCTTTCTTCGATGTCCTCGAGATACCTCCACATATCGGTACCTGGCTTCTCTTCTCCACCATCACTTGCTGTCCCAGCTGTTCAGCCTTCAAATCAGAATAACATCACCTGCTCTCCAGCATTCCCTCAGATTTCCAAGTGATGCAGCTGTCGGCAGCACGTCTTCTCCGTTGGCGTTTTGGGGCTCAAGAACCATGTTATGATCGTCTGATCGACGCTACCAGCGAGTGCGTGTTCCATGTAGTGTTAGATGGCTAGGCAAGCCTTGTACACACACAATGGACTATTGCATGCGTGTTTCAGTCCTGCTGGCACTTGTAACTCGCGCGAGTGTTCAACGTGAAGCTAGGCAACGGCAACCCTATGGGGGGAACAGATAGGCACGAGAAATGGGCTTGCTGGCCCGACACATTTGAATTTACTCGGCGACAAACACGTTAGGAAGTGCCATCTTCCCTATCCGAGTGTTTGAGTTATTTTCTTAGCGAAACGCGATACAAAGTCCCCTTTGGTGAGAAACATTTCACTGAAGAATGGAAACCAGATCTCGTAAGGAGAGCACTACGGGCCAAGACCGAGCGTAAGGTGGTGGACTTCCAATTTTCACGCCCGTGCTATCCCCGGACATCACGTCAACCTCACACGCTGTTCTGGTCCAGTTACGCAAGGAGAGAAGAGTCTATGAGGACGTTATGAGAGCTCGTTGCTTGACTAGTGGAGAGGACTACGATACGGTCACCCGGTTAGTGGAGGACTCTTTGAAAGGAAG